GAAGAGGCAGCAGGACAGAAGTTTCTAAAAGGAGCCAAGGCACGCAGAAAAGAGGGGAAAGCTTATCTCCCTCTCTCCTAATGCAAGAACTCGCAGACGTCCAATGCAGCTGAATAGCAGAAAGATTCAGGACAGATGGAGTTAAACTGCGGAATTCTCTGCCACAGGAGGCCACCAACCTAGATGGTCTTAAAAGATGATTAGGACTCGGATACATTAGTCAATAAGGGACGCGGGTGGCGCTGTGGGTTAAACCACAGAGCCTAGGACTTGCCGATCAGAAGGTCGGCGGTTCGAATCCCTGCGACAGGGTGAGCTCCCGTTGCTCCTGCCAGCCTAGCAGTTCGAAAGCACACCAGTGCAAGTAGATGAATAGGTACCACTCTGGTGGGAAGGTAAACGGCGTTTCTGTGTGCTGCTCTGGTTCTCCAGAAGCGGCTTAGTCATGCTGGCCACATGACCCGGAAGCTGTACGCCGGCTCCCTCAGCCAGTAAAGCGAGATGAGCGCCGCAACCCCAGAGTCAGTCACAACTAGACCTAATGGTCAGGGGTCCCTTTACATTAGTCAATAAACATTATAAACATGCAACACCAGATGGCGCCAGAGAGCAAAAAAAATTATATGCAATTTTTACATAGTTTTCTTCTTTTGTTACGATTTAATTTCTGACTTATTTATAGCGGGGGTTTTCCCTGTGTGTAGAGCTATCCTTAGACAAATTCATGGAGGAGGAGGGCTATCAATGGCTACTAACCAGGATGGTTGTGCTGTGCCCTTCACATTTTGAGCCTGTAGACCCAAGTGGACCCAAGCAGACATTTAAACCTACAGAGGTTTAAAAATAATAATAACTTAAAGCTTACAGGAAAGGGACTCTGGGATTCTAATTCTTTAATAGCAAATCTCATTGCTGCTAATATTATAGTTGCCCAGAGTGGCTGGGAAAACTCAGCCAGATGGGAGGGAATTATTATTATTATTATTATTATTATTATTATTATTATTATTATTGCCTCATGAGTGGAACAGGCCTCTCTTCCTGGGAGCAAAGAGGGCATCCTTATGACCCTAGATCTTGCAGATGTCATTGTGGTGTAGTGGTTGGATGTCCTGGGTTAGGGCCAGGGTTCAAATCCTGCCACTCAGCCATGACGCTTGCGGGCCAGTAATTATCTCTTGGCTTGACCTACCTCAAAGGGTCGTTGTGAAGATAACATGTAGGCGGGGGGAGAAGTCTGCAGACCACCTGGCACCCCTGGGTAAATCTCAGAATGGTACAAATACCGTATTTTTTGCTCTGTAAGACTCACTTTTCCCCTCCTAAAAACTAAGGGAGATGTGTGTGCGTCTTATGGAGCGAATGCAGGGCTGCGCAGCTATCCCAGAAGCCAGAACAGCAAGAGGGATTGCTGCTTTCACTGCGCAGCGATCCCTCTTGCTGTTTGGCTTCTGAGATTCAGAATATTTTTTTTCTTGTTTTCCTCCTCCAAGAACTAGGTGCGTCTTGTGGTCTGGTGAGTCTTATAGAGCGAAAAATACCGGTAACTAGAAGAGATGATTCAGCGGAGATCAGATCAGGCTGGTTATCCCACAAAACAGTGAAATCTATTTCCATAGTGGAATCAGCGTTATGAATCGGAATGGCTGGGATTTTCTGTGTTTCTGCACTTTTAAAATTGATTTCCCAATATCCTTTTTTTAAAAAAAAGTACACACATTTTAAACTGCCCACATCTTTGTGAAGCTGCTAGCTTTAAACCCCCAGAGCAGTTCATACAAATTAACTGTATGGATCATTCCAATATCACCAGCTGTTAGCTGGGAAAACATCTGCCGAGATGCAAAAGTGGTTAACCCTTTGGCTGGCTCCTTTCCTGGAACAGGAGGAGGATGCCAAGTGGGTCTTTATTAAAAAGGAGGCGACCGCCCCCCCCATGCCCAAGGCAGACTTGTGTGCCCAGCCAACCAGAGCCCAGCAACAGCAGCAGCTCCCATCGTAGGGAAATGGAGGTATAAATAATTGAACTTTATAGAGGTATTGATTGGCACGAGCCTGCCATTAGCTCCGGCAGAAGGCAAGCAAAATGTCCTTTTTCGTTTTGCCGTTCCTGGCTTTATGAAACCCACCCTCCTGTTTTCCTAGGAGGGAGAAAGCCCAAGGATTTTCCATCTCTATGCACCCTCTGCGGTCCTGAGATCAAGGATGGTCGGGAGCTGGTCTCGTGTGTGCTTGGATCAGGCCCCCATCGCCCGTTCAGTTGGCAGTTAATCCCATGAAAACACAAGGGGAGCGATTCCCGGGTAAAATCCGCACAGTAGCTCCCTTTGCTCTTCTGTGCAGCTCAGCTCACTTCCTCAAGCGGCCCGGAACCACCTGCTCTGCCCTCTGCTGGATTAAAAAGGGGTGTGCAGACAGAGTGACAAACCTAGACAGCATCTTAAAAAGTAGAGACATCACCTTGCCAACAAAGGTCCGTATAGTAAAAACTATGGTTTTCCCAGTAGTGATGTATGGAAGTGAGAGCTGGACCATAAAGAAGGCTGATCGCCAAAGAATGGATGCTTTTGAATTATGGTGCCAGTGTGGTGTAGTGGTTAAGAGCGGTAGACTCGTAATCTGGGGAACCGGGTTCGCGTCTCCGCTTCTCCACATGCAGCGGCTGGGTGACCTTGGGCCAGTCACACTTCTCTGAAGTCTCTCAGCCTCACTCACCTCACAGAGTGTTTGTTGTGGGGGAGGAAGGGAAAGGAGATTGTTAGCCGCTTTGAGACTCCTTCGGGTAGTGATAAAGCGGGATATCAAATCCAAACTCTTCTTCATGGTGCTGGAGGAGACTCTGGAGAGTCCCATGGACTGCAAGAAGATCAAACCTCTCCATTCAGAAGGAAATCAGCCCTGAGTGCTCACTGGAAAGACAGATCCTGAAGCTGAGGCTCCAAGACTTTGGCCACCTCATGAGAAGAGAAGACTCCCTGGAAAAGACCCCTGATGTTGGGAAAGATGGAGGGCACAAGGAGAAGGGGATGACAGAGGACGAGATGGTGGGACAGTATTCTTGAAGCTGCCAGCATGAGTTTGACTAAACTGCGGGAGGCAGTGGAAGACAGGAGTGGCTGGCGTGCTCTGGCCCAGGGGGTCACGAAGAGGCGGACATGACTAAACGACTAAACAACAATAATGTACCCTCTGCGGTCCCAAGATCAAGGATGGTCGGAGCTGGTCTCGTGTGTGCTTGGATCAGGCCCCCATGGCCCGTTCAGCTGGCAGGTAATGCCATGAAAACACAAGTGGAGCGATTCCTGGGTAAAATCCGCACAGGGGCTTCCCTTTGCTCTGCTTTGCAGCTCAGCTCACTTCCTTGAGCGGCCTGGAACCACCTGCTCTGCCCTCTGCTGGATTAAAAAGGGGTGTGCAGCCAGAATGGAGAGGCTAGTGATCAGTGGGAAGTCAGAACGTAAATTGAGCAGGCTGGATCAGGCCAAAGGGGGCCTCCCATTGAGTCCAGGATCCTGCTCTCACAGGAGCCGACCAGATGCCCATTATGGGAACCCCGCAACCTGGGGAAGGGCGTTCCGTAGTTTAACTATGCACTGCATAAAGGACTCCCCTTATATCTTTTAATCTGTTTTTAGTGTGTCTTTCAACATGGGGGAATTCCACTGCACGCTGGGTGAAAGAACCTTCCCAGGCAGGTACCGTAGTTTTCGCTCCATAAGACGCACCTAGTTTTTAGAGGAGGAAAACAAGAAAAAAAAATATTCTGAACGAAACAGTGGATGTATGGTTTTTGTGGTTCATACTGTGGCCACAGACATGTGATTTGATGGTGAGTTTGGGGTAGCCCAATCCTGAGAATCCATCTGTGCTTTGTAACCATGTTTTTGCACCATTGCGGCCCCACGAAACAGTGGGTGCGTGTTTTTTTTGGTGCAGGCTGTAGCCATGGACATGCTACGTGATCTGATGGTGAATTTAGGGTGACCAAATGCAAAATCCTGAGGATCCATGGGCTTTTACCTCCCCCCTCCCAGGCAGCCTGCTTTATCTCTAGCATCCCTTATCTCCCTACCGATCGCTTGTCAATCAGCAGCTTTGTTTCAACACCCCCTTCCCTCTTTCTTAAAAAAGAAAAGAAAAAAGCACAATCTGCTTTTCTCCCCCGGGCAATTTGGCTCCAGGGACCACGCATTCGCTCCATAAGATGCACAGACATTTCCCCTAACTTTTTAGGAAGGAAAAAGTGTGTCTTATGGAGCGAAAAATATGGTAAATCACATTTCTAACACATTTTAGTCCCAGAAATCAGTTGCCTTTTTATCCCTCTTTCTCTGTTTTCTTTCTCCTTTCTCTCCCCCTTTCTTTTCTCCTCCTTTTCTCCCTTCCGCACTTCCCTCTCTCTTAATTATTCCTAACCTTAGTTTTGTTTCTATATACGCCTTTCTCTCATTTCCTTGTGTCTTTCGGATTTGATTATCCTAATATAATTTCCCCACAAATGGGGTCATCAAGTATGTGATCGTTGTCTAATAAGATGTGCTATGTTTCTCCCTATTTGCTTTCGACTTTTCCATTCTTCAGCCACACCCTCTGCCCTAAAAAATAAAAATAAATTAAGCAAGGATGAGGAGATAAGACTTCAGAGCCACAGGACAATATCAAAGCATTTATCTGAGCTTTAAAAAAGATTATATATATAGAGAGAGGGAGGAGCCCCTTCTCCAATAAAAACAGATACCAAGCAGTGAAAAGCCTTGCTAAATTTGCAGAAGTGTGACAGGTCGTTCTGATGGATCAGATGCTTCTTTCATTTCCCAGACTGGGTGTTGGCTGTTTTGGACACTCTGGGGTGGGGCTGGGAGCCCCTCCCTGCACAAAAATGCCCCCAAACTGCAACTTGTGGCTTCCCTGACCGCTTTTGGCCCACAAGGAACAGCCGCTTGTTTTTCTGGTCCTCAGCACCTCCCCGTTTGGATGGCAGAGAAAACACACGGACACCGTTTTTTCATTTTAAAATACACCCGGTAGCTGTAATGGGCAGAGACACATACAGACACACACACACTTTGGCCACCCAAGTCAGGCCCGAGACCCAGTTGCTTCTGCCAGATCCCTCTCCCCCCAGATCTCTCGCTGCCTTTCTCTCTTTTACAACACTTAAGCCTTCGTCTAGCTGCCCCAGCTTAAAGTCACACCCAAGTTTATATATTAAAAGCAGAAGGAGGGGAGGGGTCCCTTTCACGGGTGGGACAAGCCCCAGCTCAAGGACAGTCTAGCAGCGCTCATGTCCTCCTGATTCAAAGGCCACAGATGGAGGAACCCAGGACTCTCCTGGCTGGAGTTAGGAACCGGAAAGGTACGTGGGGAAGGATGGATCTCCTTGGGAGCAGCAGCGAAGCTCTTTTATCATTCCCGGGAGACTGACAGCCCCCAAATCACTTGAGCTTCTTCAAGCCTCTTTGCTTGGCAATGAGAACCTTCGGTTCCTCCAAGGGAGTCGATTGCAAGGAGCGCCAAACCTCGCTGATTTGACCGCACCCTTTTGGGTGGCGGCGGCACCTCAGTTCTTGCTGCCCTAGGGACACCGGGCCTGTAGGGGGCAGGAGAGAGGGCAGGAGGCCAAGCGAGGGTGTGGGGCAGAACCGGCTGGCGCTACTCCTTCCCTTGCTCAGAGGAGGCTGCCAGAGGGGTCGAGGATGAAGATGCCAGGGCAGGCGGCTGTGTTAGAGGGCAGGTCTAATACCAGCCAGAGGCTGGTCCAAAGAAAGACCCCCGCTTGGCCGAGATGCTGCCCCACAGAGGGCCCCTGCCCCACGCAAGCTGTCCTGGCAGCAGAATGGTCAGGGCTCTCTCACGGAGAGTTCCAGCCACTGGCGAGCTGCAGGATCCACTCATGGAAACAGCGGAGGATCCCCCTAGACCCTGCCGGCCATGGGAGCTGGGCGCTCCCTGGCCAAGTACCGGGCATAGGCCTCTTCGAACATCTCCCGGCAGGGGATGGCAGCCCCGAGTCGTGCGCAGATGAGGAAGGATCCGGCGATCTTGCGGTGCAGCGAGTAGCTCTCCTCCGGAGGGGGGCTGAGTCGGTGCTTCAGCATCACGGGAATGAGGTCCTGGATGCAGCGAGTGGTGCGCTGGGTGCCAAAGTCGAAGGGGCCCGGCGTGGAGAAGGCCTCTCCCAGGATCATCACGGCGTCCACGTGGGCATCCTCAAACACCTGCCGGGAGAAGGAGGGAGGTCAGTTCAAGGGCAGGGGTTTCTGGGACTGGCAGGGACCACAGGGGCTGACAGGCAGGGGAAGAGGGGTTCCTGGGCATGGGCAGACTGCCTTTGCCACTTCCTTCAGCCTTGGTCAGACCCCACCTGTGTCCAATTCTGGATGCCGCAGTTTTAGAAGCGTGTTGAGAAGCAGGAAGGCGGGCAGAGGAGGGAGACAGAGATGATTGAGGGTCTGGAAACCAACCCTGATGAGGAACGGTTGAAGGAGCTGGGAATGGTTAGCCTGGGAAAGCAGAGACTGAATGCTTTGATAAGTAAGGGGAATGAGATAAACGAATGAATCTACCGTATTTTTCGCTCTATATGACGCACTTTTCCCCCTCCAAAAATTGAGGGGAAATGTGTGTGAGTCCTATGGAGCGAATGCAGGATCCTTGGCTTCAGCGATAGCAACGCTAAGCCTCCGAAGCGCAGAGGGAGCACTCCCTCCGTGCTCCAAAGGCTTTGCGTTGCTTTCGCTGAAGCCTGGAGAGCGAGAGGCGTCGGTGCACACGACCCCTCTCGCTCTCTAGGCTTCAGGGATAGCCGCGCGCAGCCCCTCCGGCAGAGAGAGGTAGCGTGGGGCAAAAGAGGAAGCCTTGGCTTGTGACATAGCCGCGCGCAACCCCTCCGGCAGGGAGAGGTTGCGCGCAGCCTGTATGCTGCTGTTTGGGGCTGGGGGAATAAGATTTTTTTTTTTATTCCCCCCCCCTAAAAACTAGGTGCGCCCTATGGTCCGGTGCGCCCTATGGAGCGAAAAATACGGTACTTGCAGGCCACAAGTGGTCTTTCTCAACCTGTAGGTCCCCAGATGTTGTTGAACTGCAACTCCCATCACCCCTAGCGAGCAAGGCCAGAGCTCAGGGATGATGGGAGTTGTAGTCCAACAACATCTGGGGACCCACAGGTTGAGAACCGCTGCCATAAAGCCTTCAAAGAATCTAAAACAAACAAGCCAGCCCCCCAGCGAAATCACCCAATGGCAGGAATGGCAGAGCAACTGCCCAGAGGAGGGGGGGCAGAGAATGGCACCCCACTCCGGACAGTATGGGACTCAGACTTTGCAAACCTGGTGCCCTTCTAAGAAGAGCCTGGCTGTGGGATTACAGAAGAAAAGCCTCCTATTCTACCCAAAAGAACCGAAGACTCCAGATAGACTGCTGCTAGATCTGGAGGCTCCATAAGAGCGTGAGAAGAGCCTGCCGGATCAGGCCAAAGGGGGCCCCATCCAGTCCTGCTCCCACAGTGGCCAAGGAGACGATGCCTCTTTGGGGAAACCCACAAGGATAAGGGGGCTCTCCCCTCCTGCGGTTCAGAGCAAAGGGTGCCCAGAGGCGTCGCTGCCTCTGACTGTGGAGGCAGAGACCCACCATCCTGGCTAGCAGACGCCAATAGCTCTCTCCTCCTCCGTGAATTTGTGCAAGCCCCTTCTAAAGCCATCCAGGTGAGTGGCCTTCACTGCCTCTTGTGACAGGGAGTTCCACAGTTTATGTGCTTCATGAAGAAAGTCTTTTATCTGCATTCAGCTTCATTGCAATGACCATGAGTTCTAGAGTTTTGAGAGAGAGAGAAACTTTCCTCTCTTCCCATGATTGTTGTTGTTTAGTCGTTTAGTCGTGTCCGACTCTTTGTGACCCCCTGGACCAGAGCACGCCAGGCACTCCTGTCTTCCACTGCCTCCCGCAGTTTGGTCAAACTCATGCTGGCATCTTCGAGAACACTGTCCCACCATCTCGTCCTCCGTCGTCCCCTTCTCCTTGTGCCCTCCATCTTTCCCAACATCAGGGTCTTTTCCAGGGAGTCTTCTCTTCTCCTGAGGTGGCCAAAGTCTTGGAGCCTCAGCTTCAGGATCTGTCCTTCCAGTGAGCACTCAGGGCTGATTTCCTTCAGAATGGAGAGGTTTGATCTTCTTGAAGTCCATGGGACTCTCAAGAGCTCTGGTGCTCCTTGAGAAACTTTGCGACTGTTAAACTAGCTTAAGGTGGACAGGCAGGGACAAAAACCTTCGCAGCAGATGGGTGGCAGGGTGGGGGAGAGATTTAAACCTCCCCTCCTCTTCCTGCCCCCCTTCCTAGCTCACAGCCTTTTGAAATCCACCCGCTCTGCCCAGCGCCCCTCAGTGCCAACCCAAAATGCTGGTTCCTGCTCAGCCTGGGGCAGCTGGTGAGATTAATCTCCCGACGGACACGCTCACCTTAGTCTCGAAGCCCGTCATGAACTTGAGGTCTTTGGACTTCTGCAGCACTTTGGCCCGGTCTCCGTCTGCCGCGGCCCTCACCACCTTCGCCGAGAGGAAAGAGAGGGGCTGAGGGGGTGGATATTGGGGGGCTCAGCCCTGCTCTAGCCAGCGGCTGGCATTATATAGCCACCACTGGAGCCCCACTTCCCCACCTTGCTAAATGTGTGGGGTGTGAGGTGCTATTAGGATTATTATTTTGTGTGTTATGTGAGGAATGAGGTTACAGGGAACCAGGCAGAGGGCCTTCTGGGTTGCCTGCCCTGTGGAACGCCCTCCTGTAAGATGTCAAACAATTATTTGACTTTTAGACGACATCTGAAGGCAGCCCTGTAATAATAATAATAATAATAATAATAATAATAATAGTAGTAGTAGTAGTAGTAATAGTAATATTTATACCCTGCCCATCTGGCTGGGTTTCCCCAGCCACTCTGAGCAGCATATGGCATATATAAAGGTAAAGGTAAAGGTACCCCTGACCATTAGGTCCAGTCGTGACCGACTCTGGGGTTGCGGCGCTCATGTCACTTTATTGGCCGAGGGAGCCGGCGTACAGCTTCCGGGTCATGTGGCCAGCATGACTAAGCCGCTTCTGGTGAACCAGAGCAGCGCACAGAAACGCCGTTTACCTTCCCGCCGGAGCGGTTCCTATTTATCTACTTGCACTTTGACGTACTTTCAAACTGCTAGGTTGGCAGGAGCAGGGACTGAGCAACAGGAGCTCACCCCGTTGCGGGGATTCAAACCGCGACCTTCTGACTGGCAAGTCCTAGGCTCTGTGGTTTAACCCACAGCGCCACCCGTGTCTCAATGGCATATATAAAACATAGTAAAACATCAACCATTGAAAAATTCCCGATACAGTGGTACCTCGGGTTACATACGCTTCAGGTTACAGACTCCGCTAACCCAGAAATAGTGCTTCAGGTTAAGAACTTTGCTTCAGGATGAGAACAGAAATCGTGCTCCGGTGGAGCGGCGGCAGGGTGAGTCCCCATTAGCTAGAGTGGTGCTTCAGGTTAAGAGCAGTTTCAGGTTAAGAACGGACCTCCAGAACGAATTAAGTACTTAACCCGAGGCACCACTGTACAAGGCTGCCTTCAGATGTCTTCTAAAAGTGATATAGTTCTTTATCTCCTTGACATCTGATGTTTTATTGCGTTTTTAATATTTTGTTTGGAGCCGCTCAGAGTGGCTGGGGAAACCCAGTCAGATGGATGGCATATAAACAAGAGAATTATTATTATTATTATGCTCTGAAGTATGTTGTTATTATTATTAAACGACAGGGATAACACATTACGGAGGTGATGGAAAAGGCCAGGAAGTTAAAATGGACACATGCAGGCAAGAGGCGACTCAGGCTGATGGATTAAAGTAGGGTTAGTATGGAGACCCTGGCCTTTCCAATGGCCGAGGGGACGCCCACCTGTGTGATGCCTGGACCATGTAGAAAGCAGGCATCTACCCCAGGAAGGATGTGAGATGCTGTAAAAGGAGGAGGAAAAGATAACTGGCACTCACCTCAATGTAATTGTCAGTGAACTCTTTGCTGAAGTCTCGGCTGGCCCCAAAGTCCAGCAGGGTCACCTGCGAAGAACGAGGGGTTAGACGCGCCTGCAGTCTCTCGCACCTGGGGAATATCTCACCCCCACCCCAGGAATCCGACCCAATCTCCGACCTTGTGCCTCTCGGCATCGTAGAAAAAATTGGACCAGTTTGGATCGGTCTGCATGAAGCGGAACTCAAAGACCTCTCGGAGGCACAGGCGAAGGATGTGGGAACAGATCTGTGGAGAGAAGGAAGAGAGGGAGCCCCCCTTTAATTTTTAGATACTTTTAGTGGAAGGAAAGGCAAAATTTAAAGGAAGAAAGTAAGAAAAGGTACCAGAAGAAAAGCATTAGGCGGCAGCAGGGCAGACACAGAACACGAATCTTGCGGCTTAATAAATACTTTAAAAATATTACCAATATGTTGAACACACGGTGGACTTTACAAAATCGTTAATCTTAATTCCCTTGCTTTCTTATCATGTGTACACCAGGTGAATGGAGAGATGGCAATAATAAAATGGAAGAGAATGGGCGAATTGTGTCTTATTTTCATGTAACCTGGAATGGCCATTCGTCCGTTTGCCTCCTCGTTCACAAATGATGTGAAATCAAACCATACTGCAAGAACCCTTCCTCTTTTACTAGATCCTACTAGAAACTGTTTATTATTATTTTCCTGCCAGGCTACCTGCCAGACTCTTGAGTGCCACTAGTACAGAGAATGACTAGCTAAAGCGTTTCCCAGAACCTCGCTAGAGACATTCTCGCTGCGAGAGATGAACTCCTTGTTTTTTTCCCATCTCTTTATTGGCTTCAGAAAATCAATTTCAAAGCGCCAAATACAGAGGAGGCACAACAGTTCGATCGGGGATTGGAGATGTTTCCTTTAATGCCTGGCCCAGAAATCTGCAGCCTTGAGATCATCCTATTGCACGGTGCTTGCCATTTGGCAGCATTTATGCATAGCTGTCAACTTACAGATTTGGAAATAAGGGACCAGCAGCCTCGAAAATAAGGGATCAGCAGCCAAAATAAGGGATTTTTCGGGCACAGGTATGTTCGACTTCTGAGCCCCTCTGAGCCAAAGGCAGAAAGCCCAGCCAGCAGCCAAACGAAGCCTCAAGCGGTGGTTCCCACAGCGCAGCGACCAGGCAAAGGGGATGCAGCAAGGAAAACCACCGTCACCTCTCCGCTGGGAAGCGCTGAGCAAAGGTGAGTCCCCAGGCAAGGCGGCCGATTTGATGGGCACAAGGCATGCAAGCTCCACCCCCCAGTCGTTCTTAGACTCCTTATTGGGTGAGCAACACAGCCAAGCAACACAGTTGGAGCCTCCCTCCTCCCTGGCTGGCAGGGAGGGAGAGGAACTGCTTTCTTTGAAACCTGGGAAATTTAAGGGACATCATCAATAAGGGACAGCAGCGGGACACAGCGCTGGGATAAGGGACTTTCCCGCCAAATAAGGGACGGTTGCATTTATGTAGCCTTCCCTGGGCAGGCAGGAAAGGGGGCTGCGGCTGAATGGGGGGGGGGCAAATGCTAGGAAGCTCTCCTATAGAGACGCTCCGTTTTGGGGGTAACGCCATCCACTGACACAGAGGCCTCTCCACCTCCACCCAAGCTTTCTCCATAATCTGGCCCCCGCCTCACCTCATTCCGCAGCTCCTGGCTGAGATCCTGGCAGCGGTCCAGCGGGACGCCCCCCGCCAGCTCCATCGACAGGACCCTGTGGGTGGACAGCTCCTCTACCACCTTGGGCACCTCAAAGAACGGGTCACCTTCCAGGAGGTGCCTGGGGGAAGAGATGCTTCAGCAAGGAGGCTCTCTCCAAATGGGAGGGCCGCAAGACACCACGCCCACCCCCACCCCCAAAGGGTGGTTGGTCCTGAGGCTACAGGGATCCTCCAGCCTGGTCCCAAAAGGCACCTCCCTGGCTGTGCCCAGATGTGGGTCTGCCAAGGGGGAGAAGCCAAGATAAAAGCACACCAAGAACTCAGGCCAATGTAAGTTTCAATATTGCAAAACAATAGTCAATGGAAACCAAAACTAATCCATTCAAAAGTATGTATTTTGACGAGGATTACAAACTCAAATAGAGATTACAAACTCTAACAGAGATTACAAGATCAAACTCATAAAGATATGTATAACACAATAATTCATTACAGAAACCAGTAGGTTCATGCTAGCCCATAATCAGATATGTTTCGATGTACTCAACTTCATCAGCTAATTTTTAAAGGGTCGTGTAAGTTTGAAGACTTTCGGATAAATATATCCTGTTATTTTCTATGTTTCTCAGGGATAACAGCTACGTATGGGTAGATCAACGTGTATCTTGAGCTTTTCTGTGCTCAAGATACACATTGATCTACCCACACAAATACATCAAAACAGAATACATACTTTTGAATGGATTAGTTTTGGTTACTATTGACTAGTGTTTTGCGAGTAGGGACCACTCCCACTATTGAAACTTACATTGGCCCGAGTTCTTGGTGTGCATTTTTCTTGGTATATTTAATAACAAGGAGAAGAAGGAGGAACCTGGAGCCTGCCAGGTCCCAGGACGAAGGGAAGTTTCAGGGATTTCTTCTATAGCTATGACACTGTGATGCTTAAGGCAACGACACTCACTCATAGCAGCAGCCACTGCAGAGTCCCCAAAGGGGGCATCCTCAGGTCTATAAGTCGCACAGCCCTATAGAGAGGCCGTCCCTCGCTTTCTGTTTTGCACAAGCGCAGAAATTATGTTGCGTTTTCCAAGGCATTATCATAGCTGGACGCCTGATTCAGCAAGAAGGACAGAGCACCTCTTTTCAATCAGCTCAAGGCTGAGTTATTCCTGCACACGCATTCATAGAATCATAGAATGATAAGAGGGACCCGAGGGTCATCTAGTCCAACCCCCTGAAACTCAGGAATCGCAGCTCTTGGCACATTCTTAATCTAGTCTGAGCAAGCTGTCAGATTCGCCTAACAACATCCCTCCATGTTGCTGATTAGAACTCCACAGTTAGGTTTCCTGATAGGAATATTAAAGGTAAAGGGACCCCTGACCGTTAGGTCCAGTCGTGACCAACTCTGGGGTTGCGGCGCTCATCTCGCTTTACTGGCCGAGGGAGCCGGCGTACAGCTTCCAGGTCACGTGGCCAGCATGACTAAGCCGCTTCTGGTGAACCAGAGCAGCGTGTGGAAACGCCGTTTACCTTCCCGCCGGAGCGGTACCTATTTATCTACTTGCACTTTGATGTGCTTTTGAACTGCTAGGTTGGCAGGAGCAGGGACCGAGCAACGGGAGCTCACCCCGTCGAGGGAATTCGAACCGCCGGCCATCTGATCGGCACAGCACCACCCCTGTCCCCCTATTTAGTTGGGTACTAATCTTCCTATGGGACGCGGGTGGCGCTGTGGGTAAAACCTCAGCGCCTAGGACTTGCCGATCGCATGGTTGGCGGTTCGAATCCCCGCGGCGGGCTGCGCTCCTGTCGTTCGGTCCCAGCGCCTGCCAACCTAGCAGCTTGAAAGCACCCTCGGGTGCAAATAGATAAATAGGGACCGCTTACCAGCGGGAAGGTAAACGGCGTTCCGTGTGCTGCGCTGGCTCGCCAGATGCAGCTTTGTCACGCTGGCCACGTGACCTGGAAGTGTCTGCGGACAGCGCTGACTCCTGGCCTATAGAGTGAGATGAGCGCAACCCTAGAGTCTGTCAAGACTGGCCCGTACGGGCAGGGGTACCTTTACCCTTACCTTTAATCTTCCTATTGGGGGACGCGGGTGGCACTGTGGTCTAAACCACTGAGCCTAGGGCTTGCCCGTCGGAAGTTGGCGGTTCGAATCCCCGTGACGGGGTGAGCTCCCATTGCTCGGTCCCAGCTCCTGCCAACCTAGCAGTTCGAAACCAGGTCATGCTGTTGCTGCCAGCCAGGGTTGACGGTGCTGAGCTGGAGAAGCCAGGGGTCTGGCTTTCCCAAGTCAATTCCAAGAGCTGGCAGCCCTGGGCAGGACCGCCGGGGCAGCCATGCTGGCATTTCCTTGTTAGGGGAAGGGTTTGATGGGAAGGCTCTCAAAAGGCCAGGGATTCTCCCAGGAGGAGGAAGGCCAGGCGTTTGCTCTCAGCTACCTGAACTTCCGGGCGCACTGAGCCTCCCGCTGGTAGTCGCATTCCCACTCCAGCTCCTTCTGAAGCACCTGCAGGGTGTTGTCAGCAAAGAGGCCTGCAAGGAAACAGAGACGGGCAGAGGCTGTTCACCCATGAGAGCACAAAACTGTGGAACTCCCTGGTGCAGGAGGGAAAGACCAGCCACCCACCTGGACGGCGCTCAAGGAGGACTGGACAGATTCAGGGAGGAGGAGAGGGCTCTGGAGCTCAGGTCCGAGAATCAGCGTGTTCTTACATGAGTAGAATGTGTCCTTTTATTTAAAATGCATCTCTGGGTTATTTGTGGGGCATAGGAATTCGTTCATTCCCCCCCCCAAAAAAAAATATAGTCCACCCCCCCCAAGGTCTGAGGGACAGTGGACCCAGCCCGCTGCTGAAAAAGTTTGCTGACCCCTGTGGCAGGCCCTTGTGAGAAGATGGACTAGATGTGAAAATGTACAGAATGGAATGGCATACAAAAGGTGAACAGGTAAAATCTGTAACGGTACACTGGGCAAGGGATTTGAGGCATAACATTCAGATTGCAGATTGGGAAAGGTTATGGAAAACAGATTTGAAATTCACAGCATGTTGTAGGCTGAAAGAAAATTATATGAAAATGATGTGTCGGTGGTATTTGACTCCTAGTAATCCTAGTAAGCTAGCAAAAATGTATAAAACAAGTACAAATACCTGCTGGAAATGTAAAGAAAAGAAGGTAACTTTTATCATATGTGGTGGTGGTAAAAGGCAAGAAAGGCTTTCTGGGAAATGATATACAATGAACTGAAAAACATGTTTTAAATAAAGTTTAGGGGGGTGGAATCCAGAAGCCTTCTTATTAGGAATTGTAGGTACCGACATCCCAAAGGAACTCTTCATGTACACGACAACAGCAGCACGGATGCTACTAGCCCAGAGATGGAAAGAAGAAATTGAGTCCCTAGCAGAGAGGAATAGCAAACCAAGTTATTAGACTACGATGAAATTGCAAAACTGACCGGAAAGCTCAGGGACTAAGAAGACAAAAACTTCCAAGAAAGAATGGGGGGGGGGATTATAATTTATTTAGGAGACCATCGGAAACAGATGAAAACAGGATTTTAATCTCACTTGTAATGTAACAAATACTATGGACAATATGGACAGATGTAAAATATAGATTATGAAATAATATGCTGTTGAAAATGTTGACAATGGGACCCATGGAAGGGATTGGGCGGGAAGTCTCGATTCAGATAAATCTCTCTATATGGATATGTATTTGGTTTTGTTATAAATTTATACCTGTAAAATCAAATAAAAACGGTTTTTCAAAAAATCTGATTTCTTTCCGCAGGGCCTGCAAGACAGAGTTGTTCCGCCTGGCCTTTGGTTTGGAATCAATTTGATTACCTCCCCCTCTTTCTTTTTTCCTTTCTTTCCTTCTGTGTTGGAACTCCTATTTGGGGACTTCCCTGGCTTTTTTCTAGCCCATGTAGGACCAGCCTGGATAGTTAGCCTTGGTGGAGACTTGATGTTTTCATCCCCCAAAAAGTTTTTGATTGAGTTTCCACTGAAATGAGGCTGCATTTTAACATTTTAATGTTGCATTTTAATCTTGTTTTTAAGCTGTATTCAATTGTTTTATATTTGGTGTTAGCTGCCCTGAGCTGGGGAGGAGAGGGAATAAATAAATTTTTTTATTATTATTATTATTAAGAAGAGGAAGAGAGAAGATGGGACTAGATGAGCCCCCTTTGGCTCACCTTGCGTTCTCCTTACCTTCTGGGAGCATCATGCTCATCTTGAGCACCACCAACAGGTTATCCACGTCACTTCGGATGCTCTGAGCAATGCCTGGGTACTGCAGGAGGAGAGGAGGGAGACGGAACGTCAAGACCGGCTGCGCTGCCAAGGGCTTCCAAACCCAGCAGACCAGAGACTTGCCTGGCAGTCAAAGTCTCTCCCTACAGGCTCTGCCCTCGCCCTGTAGCCAGAGCACCTTCCTTGCATGCACAGTCCTGGGTTCAAATCCTGGCAACGTCTCCACGTCTGAGCCAACATTTACCTGGATCTTCATGGCCACTTCAGTCCCATCCTTCAGCACTCCAAGGTGCACTTGGCCGATGGAGGCGGCCGCAAAGGGCGTTTCCTCAAAGGAGGCCACTCTGTCCCGCCAGTCAGCACCCAGTTCTTCCACCAGGACACCCTGGAAGGGGAAGAACAGAGAGTCCCTGAAGCAACATGCTGGAGAGCTGCCTCACACCGGCAGCGGCTGCCACCTGGACTGAGGCAAACCCCACGGGCATCTTCCTGCGCCAGCAGCATCTCAGTGCGGCGGCTGAGCTGGACCTCCCTGCTCAGAGCATCCATGCCAACCCTCCCACCCAACCACGGGCGGAGGGCAAAGGCGGCTTCCCTCGCGGCCCCCTGCCCCACCCCAGGGCAACGCACCATCATCTGAGAGGGCGGCATGAAGTCGGCGCTTTGTCGGACACGCTGGAAGATCTGCTGCAGCTGGGGGCTGATGAAGCTGTTGTCTGCGGGGAGAAGCGGGCGTCCCAAAGAAACTGTTTTTTAAATATTGTTTGCAGTGCTGCAACCCACCCTGCTAGCCTGGAGAGGCTCTTTGGTTTTGGCTTGGGAGGGCAGTCCTTTGATGGGTGTGGAGGACTCCCTGGTCCTGAATGGGGCAACTGTGCCCCTGAAGGACCAGGAGCGCAGCCTGGGAGTCATTTTGGACTCACAGCTGTCCATGGAGGCGCAGGTTAATTCTGTGTCCAGGGCAGCTGTCTGCCAGCTCCATCTGGTACGCAGGATGAGACCCTAGCTGCCTGCGGACTGCCTTGCCAGAGAGGTGCATGCTCTAGTTATCTCCCACTTGGACTACTGCAATGCACTCTACATGGGACCACCTTTAAAGGTGACCCGGAAACTGCAACTAATCCAGAATGCGGCAGCTAGACTGGTGACTGGGAGTGGCCGCCGAGACCACATAACGGGTCTTGAAAGACCTACATTGGCTCCCAGTACGTTTCCGAGCACAATTCAAAGTGTTGGGGCTGACCTTTCAAGCCCTAAACGGCCTCGGTCCAGTATACCTGAAGGAGCGTCTCCAACCCCCATCTTTCAGCCCGGACACTGAGGTCCAGCTCCGAGGGCCTTCTGGTGGCTCCCTCACTGCGAGAAGCCAAGTTACAGGGAACCAGGCAGAGGGCCTTCTCGGTAGTGGCACCTGACCTGTGGGACGCCCTCCCATCAGATGCCAAGGAAATAAACAACTATCTGACTTTTAGAAGACATCTGAAGGCAGCCCTCTTTAGGGAAGTTTTATTCTGTTTTTAGTATTCTTCTGGGAGCGGCCCAGAGTGGCTGGGGAAACCCACCCAGATGAATGGGGGTATAAATAATAAACTATTACAGTGGTACCTCGGGTTAAGTACTTCATTCTTTCCGGAGGTCTGTTCTTAACCTGAAACTGTTCTTAACCTGAAGCACCACTTTAGCTAATGGGGCCTTCCTGCTGCCGCTGCGCTGCTAGAGCACAATTTCTGTTCTCATCCTGAAGCAAAGTTCTTAACCCGAGGTACTATTTCTGGGTTAGCGGAGTCTGTAACCTGAAGCGTCTGTAACCTGAAGCGTCTCTAACCCGAGGTACCACTGTATTATTATTGTATAACCTTCCAGGCTTGGGGGACGGACCTCTTTGCCGACCAGCCAGCAGCCCCACCAACCCTCCCATTGATTCTTAGCAGCCCCTCAGGGAAGATGCAGGAAGGAAATGGGAACACCCCCTTCTCCCCCCCCCCCCGATACCTTGAATGCTCAACATCTGGCCAATCTTGAGGGCAGCCCCACGCATCTTGCAGAGGGTATCCACGATTCGCTCGGCGTTTGCCTCCGACAGGAAGGGGTTGGATTCCAGTAGGAAGCTTGCGTCTGCAGTGGGGGAGGGAAGAAAGATTTGCTTGTGCCTGGGGAGGCAGGCCTCTCATGAGAGCAGAATATGAGCGTCTCCACCCCCATCGTTCTACCCGGACACTGAGGTCCCGCTCTGAGGGCCTTCTGACGGTTTCCTCATTGCAAGAAGCCAAGTTACAGGGAACCAGGCAGAGGGCCTTCTCGGTAGTGGCGCCCACCCTGTGGAACACCCTCCCATCAGATGTGAAGGAAATAAGCAGCTATCTTATCTTTAAAAGACATCTGAAGGCAGCCCTGTTTAGGGAAGTTTTTAATATTTAATGCTGTATTGTTTTTAACATTCGATTGGGAGCCGCCCAGAGTGGCTGGGGAAACTCAGCCAGATGGTTGGGGTATAAATAATAAATAAATTATTATTATTATTATTATTATTATTATTATTATTATTATTATCATCATCATCATCATCATCATCATCATCCTGCTGGGTCAGGCCAAAGGGGGCCCAGCTGGTCTCGCATCCTCTTCCCTTGAGAGCAGAAGAAGTGTCCAGGCACTTTTTAAGGCAAGGCCAGCCCCAGCCACGCACCCCGGCCCTCAAAATCCTTAAAGCAGCCCCTTGTGGCCTCGCAACCACATGTGCAAGAGATCATGAGTGCACAGGGCAGGCCCTTCTCTCGCACCTTCCTTACCCTTGATTTTTTGCTCCCCGTTAAGGGAGTTCCTCGCCACTTCCACCAAGGCTCCAAAGCCCAGGCCCACAGCCAGACCTGGAAGGGAGAAAGGATTGTATGAATGGAAGGCGGGGGGGGGGGATAGAATGAATCCAGTCTTCCCCCCCCCAGCCCAGTCTCTCCCACCACCAGCTCCAGCTGCCCCCCACCCCACCAATGTGGTAACCCATAGGAAGGTCTATTATGCAAACATAAATTACATTAGGATCGTCCTCAAGAAACGCTTAGGATTGTAATTTTGTGAATGGAATATTCATTTCAAGCCATTAATTCTCAGCCTTCTCCAATTCCCAAATGACAAGATTTATTGTGATGGTTTAATACTTCTTTTTCAGGGGGGACTTGCTACAATTCGAGGACCTGTCCGGGTTAGTTTTTGTAGATGTGCATTCAACTTCCACGCTCCTGCAGCCGTTTACAACGTTCCACGACTGGCCCTTTCCTCTGAGCAACTGGCGTCTGTCTAAACATTCCGTGACATCACAGCAGCCAAACCAATGGCAGCAAAGCAAGCAAACGAAAGGCAAAATCCAGTCGCATCACCCTGGCATTCTCCCTCCCTCTCAACAAATCCTCAGCTGCGAATGCTGCCGCCTGGAGGATCTCACCTCCAAAATTCGCAAGGCGTCCAACGCGGGTCACTGGCACTTTCCGCTCGCGGGCCCTCTCACTGAGCTGAGGAACAAAGCAGACAGAAAAGTCAAGCCAGCCAGATGTTGGGGGACAAGGAAGGCTCACCCCCTCTTGCGAGCGCTCCAGAAACATCTGGGAACAGAACGTTAAGGCAAGATGGGTCCACCTTGGCGCGTCCAACCAGCTTATTTTTATGCTCTTAAGCATAAAGTTTCTACAGTTGCGATCTGAACTATTTCCCCAGCCGACAGCGGCAATTAGCAGCACTACCTGTGCATACACCTTAAGCCAGAGCTTTCCAAACTGTGTGCCGCAACACACTTGCTTGTCGGCTGCAGCGTGTGGGTGTGTTGCGAAACGAAAAAGTGTGTCACAAGCAGGGAACGTTTGGAAACTTCTGCCTTAAGCGTCTTGCTGAACGTTGCATCCCTGCTGGATCCTGGTTGGCTCAGGGTTCAAGCCACCCACTTCCCCCCCTCCCCACGAGACCCAGGCCTTACCTTCTGCCTCATTTTGCCCAGACTCTCCTGGTCTTTCCTGGGCCGAGATTGCCTCGCTTTCTGGATGTCCTCCACCGTGAGACCTCGAAGCGGAGCGCTCTGATGAATCAGACGGGGGCGACCAAAGCTGGAGACTCCCCAAAGCCTGGGTGCCCCTGTGGGCATGGGAAGCGGCTGGTCACCGGAATGATCGGCAGCCCATCCTGTGGCGCTTGCGGTGTGACAAGAGTTTTCCCCCTGCAGGAACCACCTTCCTGGGTAAGGCAGCTTTTCCTGCTCCTCCCGAGGAGATGCTGGGAGCGCCACGGTTTCCTGCTAAAAGCAGAAAGCAGATTGCTGTTTCCTGCCAGGTCCAGGACACAGAGCTCTCAGCCCCCAAAACCCCAATTTCTTCTAAAGCGCTGGGATCAGGTGTGCCAACTCTCAGGGGCAGAGGTTTCATTAGCCCCCTCAATATTCCTTAGCAGGGCGCTCAGCCCCAGCCCCCCAATATTGAGGGGGCAGAGGAAGGCAAACATCAAAGCATCTACCAGCTCCACCTGGTACGCAGGCTAAGACCCTACCTGCCCGCAGACTGTCTCGCCAGAGTGGTGCATGCTCTGGTTATCTCTCGCTTGGATTACTGCAATGCGCTCTACGTGGGGCTACCTTTGAAGGTGACCCGGAAACTGTAACTAATCCAGAATGTGGCAGCTAGACTGGTGACTGGGGGCGGCCGCCGAGACCACATAACACCGGTCTTGAAAGACCTACATTGGTTCCCAGTACGTTTCCAAGCACAATTCAAAGTGTTGGTGCTGACCTTTAAAACCCTAAACGGCCTTGGTCCAGTATACCTGAAGGAGCATCTCCACCCCCATCGTCCAGCCCGGACACTGAGGTCCAGTGCTGATGGCCTTCTGGCGGTTCCCTCCCTGAGAGAAGCAAAGCTACAGGGAACCAGGCAGAGGGCCTTCTCGGCAGTGGCACCGGCCCTGTGGAACGCCCTCCCACCAGATGTCAAAGAGAACAACAACTACCAGACTTTTAAAAGACATCTGAAGGCAGGCAGCCCTGTTCAGGGAAGTTTTTAATGTGTGACATTTTTATGTATTTTTAATCTTTGTTGGAAGCCGCCCAGAGTGGCTGGGGAAATCCAGCCAGATGGGCGGGGTACAAATAATAAATTATTATTATTATTATCAATGGAAGGCTAAACCAGCCTGCATGGGGCAGGAAGTCCCACATGTACCACACGCCGCCACCCCCACCCCCCAAGAATGGAAATTGCAGAGGTCAAGTAATGGAGCAATTCAGCATCCAGGGAAAAGGTGACCTCATTTTCTGTTTCTTGAGCTTTCAAGGCCATTACCTGGCAGGGAAAACTGAGCCTGCCTGTGTGCTAGACATGTATCTATCGATCTATAAAAATATATAATATTGGGACAACAGTTCCCAGTGGAGGTGGACATCCTGGGCTCCACAAGGCAGAGTGGCTTTTGTGTGTTCACCAGGAGGCGGATTGGGACGCAGGTGGCGCCATGGGTTAAACCACAGAGCCTAGGACTTGCCGATCAGAAGGTCGGCGGTTCGAATCCCCACAACGGGTTGAGCTCCTGTTGCTCGGTCCCTGCTCCTGCCAACCTAGCAGTTCAAAAGCACATCCAAGTGCAAGTAGATAAATAGGTACCGCTCCAGCGGGAAGGTAAACGGCGTTTCCGTGCGCTGCTCTGGTTCCCCAGAAGCGGCTTAGTCATGCTGGCCACATGACCCGGAAGCTGTATGCTGGCTCCCTCAGCCAGTAAAGCGAGATGAGCGCCACAACCCCAGAGTCTGCCATGACTGGACCTAATGGTCAGGGGTCCCTTTACCTTTACAGGAAGCGGATTGGACTTGTGCCATGTGGACACATCTATGGATGAAGGACGGTCTACAAATTTAATACACAATAATAAGAGCATCCTCCTCCAATCTCCTCACTTCCCCATAGTAGTGACCTCCCCAGGTTGTGTAGAGAAGAGCACGCAACACATTCCCTGCTCTTTAAGTGGCAAGCGATTTCTATTTTGGCTGCAGGCGTCAACATGCTTAACCAGTTGGGTCTGTCTCTTGGAGCTGATTTTCATCCCTGAAGCCAGGAGTTAAGGGCAGGTGCTTGAGTTTCAAAGGCCATTTCAGCCCTGCTCTCCAGACACCTTTGGGCAGAGTCAGCCTCCACGGCCCTCTTCCAGCAGGGAGGCAGCAATGGCACAGTGGTTAAAGTGTCAGACTGGGAAAGGCTGGGGTTCGAATTCCCACTTTGGCTATTGGGGGGGTGTGATCTTGGGGGACAGCCACTGCCTTTTCTGAGCCTAACCCACCTCGCTGGGTTGTGGTTGTCGTGGCGATTAAACAAAGGGGTAGGGAGAAGAACTTCACGGAGCTCCTTGGAGGAAAGAAGAAGGGCTGTGTGTGCAACACATTACAGTGGTACCTCCGGTTAAGTACTTAATTCGTTCCAGAGGTCCGTACTTAACCTGAAACTGTTCTTAACCTGAAGCACCACTTTAGCTAATGGGGCCTCCTGCTGCTGCCATGCCACCGGAGCACGATTTCTGTTCTCACCCTGAAGCAAAGTTCTTAACCTGAAGCACTATTTCTGGGTTAACGGAGTGTGTAACCTGAAGCGTATGTAACCCAAGGTACCACTGTAAATAAAAGCAGCCGCACAGAGGCCTCTACCCTGCAGGGAGCAGCGCAGTCATAGAGGCTGGTGTGCAGTTTCACGCTCACAAGAGCATTGCACACTTGCGAGACTTGTTGCACACTTATGAATGAGCAGTGGGTGCTGGACCCTTGACCCTGACCCACCAGGGTCCTTCTGAAGGGTGGGTTGGGGCCCAGAGCCCCAGCCAAGGACTTTCCCCCCCACACACACTTCTACCCCCCCCACTGACTTACCCTCCTCTTCCTGCAGCTGTCAGGTCTCCCCTCGGAGCTGTGGGTCCCGGAGGAGGGTCGTGCCAGCCTGGCCCCCTCAGGGGCGACCCTCCCCGCAGAGCAGCTCCCCAGGAACCGGAGCCCCCGCTTCCAAGGCATCTCGGGGGGGGGAGAGGTGTGGCCCCGAGTCCAAGGGCCCTGAGGGGGGCAAAGGTCAAAGGGCGCCAAGAGAGAGGGGTTCGGGTGAATGAGAGAGGACCCCCCCAAAAAAAGAGCGGGGTCAAAGGTCACCAGGTTCCGGGAATGGGGGGAGACTGTTCCCACCGCGGTCCGACCCTCGCCGCTCGCTTCTCCCTTCCTCTGGACACCGGCATCTGCTTCCGGGTCCGGCTAGTCCCGCCTCCCTTCCGGAGGGGCGCGGCGGGTGTCCAATCAGCGGCCCCGTGTGCGTTCCCGGGCGTTGGAAGGCGTCGACCAATCAGGGCTCGAGGATCCGCCCCCGCCCGCTTTGATTCATTCATTTCTCTCCCGCTCGCCCCGCCCCCGTTCCCGCGCCCATTCAGGAGGAATGCGTTCGCCGGTGGAACTCGCTGCCACGGGACGGGAGGAGGGAGGCCGCGCTGCTATTCTTAGGTTACGTTTTTAACTTATCGCCCGCCCGAAGATCCCCGGGCGGGTTGGCAATATTAGAAAGAGATGGAGCCTGTCGGGTGAAGCCTCCTGATCTCCCGGTGGCCTTGCAATACATCTCTCGGGGGAAAGCCGCGAGCAGGATCCGGGCACAGGGGCAACTCTCTCCCTGGCCCTCTCCTCCTCCATGAATTTCAATTCCGCTCTTAAAGCCACCCAGGCTGGCTCATGGGGCGGGGAGTTCCACCGTTTAACTAGGCGCTGTTGGAAGAAGGACTTTGTATTGCTGTCGGCATCCGTCGGTCTCAAGAGACAATGGCGAGCGGAGGGGGGGGTTTGAAGTCAAACCGGGTCCCCAGATGTTGTTGAACTACAACTCCCATCACCCCTAGCTAGCAAGGCCAGAGCTCAGGGATGATGGGAGTTGTAGTCCAACAACATCTGGGGACCCACAGGATGAGAACCACTCAAATAGAGGCACTGGGTTTCACTAGGGGGCGCTGCCCTACCTCGAATCGGCCAGGAAGGAGGGCTTGGCCCCAGGGATCTCCTGTCTTGCGTTCGAATCTCCTTTTCTGGGTGCAGCACCCTTGCAGGATTAGGCAGGCCCAGCGGCACAACATGGGGTGGAGCTGGGTGTGGGTGGGTGCTGGAGGAGGCGAAGGGGACGTGTTCGTCGCTGCCCCCTTCTTTTTTAAACTTCAAAAGTGGGGATGTTTCCATGAAACAGCCTTTCTCAACCTGTGGGTCCCCAGATGTTGTTGAACTACAACTCCCATCACCCCATAGCTAGCAAGGCCAGAGCTCAGGGATGATGGGAGTTGTAGTCCAACAACATCTGGGGACCCACAGGTTGAGAACCGCTGCAGTGCCCCCCTGTGGCTCCAGAGGCTGGAAATCTTGCAACTGCTGCCTCCTTTGTGGTTTTAGCAGCACCAAATTGACACCCCTGGGTGCAAGCCTGTGCCCGGAGGTCCTAGGCTACCTTTGTGACAAGGCCCCCCTCTCAGCCTTCCTTCCCCCCTCCCAATTTTTTTATTGGTTTTCCAAATTTATAACAAACAAAAAACATCAAAAACAAACAAGCCGACAGACAGACATTTATCCTAGCTATAATAGTTCCACTTTTGTCAACATTGCTGGGTGACTTCCTTGAATCCCCCTGGCTGAGTTTCCGTATAAATCATTGTAGCAGTTTTCCAAAACTATTTTCACATAAAATTTACTTAGTCAATTAGCATCTTCCTTTCTTTTCATTTTAACTTTTAACATAGTATTCTAAAGGTAAAGGTAAAGGTACCCCTGCCCGTACGGGCCAGTCTTGACAGACTCTAGGGTTGTGCGCCCATCTCACTCAAGAGGCCGGGGGCCAGCGCTGTCCGGAGACACTTCCAGGTCACGTGGCCAGCGTGACATCGCTGCTCTGGCGAGCCAGAGCCGCACACGGAAACGCCGTTTACCTTCCCGCTAGTAAGCGGTCCCTATTTATCTACTTGCACCCGGGAGTGCTTTCGAACTGCTAGATTGGCAGGCGCTGGGAGCGCACCCCGCCGCGGGGATTCGAACCGCCGACCTTTCGATCGGCAAGCCCTAGGCGCTGAGGCTTTTACCCACAGTGCCACCCGCGTCCCTAACATAGTATTCTACAACATCACAAATTTAAATCCTAGGCCTATCTGATACTCACAAATAATTCTATTTAAGTTACCTTAACAAATTTAGCTAAGCAATCTTTGAATTTCTTCCATTCCTCTTGATACTCCTCCTCCTCCTGGTCGCGGACTCTTCCGGTCAGTTCGGCTAGCTCCCAAAAGTCCATCCCCTCTTGGCCTTCCCGATGAGGTCCGAAGGAAAGCAGAGCAAAATGTTGGGTACCCACTTGGCTGCAGGAATTGCTGGAAGGAGGCGTACAAAGCACCGCCCAACTGCCTTAGGGACTCTGCTCCAGATTTCTGTAGAGCAGGGGTCAGCAAACCTTTTCAGCAGGGGGCCTCAGACCTTGTGGGGGCCAGACTATTGTTTTTTGGGGGGGATATGAACGAATTCCTATGCCCCACAAATAACCCAGAGATGCATTTTAAATAGGACACATTCTAGACTAGAGGGCAGGATGGGGGACCAAAGGTGGACAAACTACCCCAGAAGGAGCACAATTTGTCTCCCACCAGAGGTACCGTCCCTCCCCTGACACCCCAGAAGTATTTATTATTTCAATATAGTTTCAAGCAAAAGGTCTTCTTCCATGGTTGGTAATGTATGAATATGTACCTCTGCCTTTTCGCAAATGCACAAAGGATGGATCCAAAACACTTCACACAATCATTCCCCATCATTTCTGGCTACTGGCCATGCTGAAGCTGATGGGAGTTGTAGTTCAGCAGCGCCTGGGGGACCAAAGATTCCACACACCTGGCCCATACAGAAACGGCATTGGCCCTGTGGGATTTCAGGCAAGTGTCCTGCTCAGCCTCACCTGAAATGCTCAATCTCCACATATTCCATCAGTCTTGTCTGCCATTCTTCTTTTCTTGGTACTCCTCCTTCCTTCCATCTCTGGGCTAGAAGCATTCTCGCTGCCGTCGTTGCATACATAAAAAGTCTTTTATCCTCTTTTGGTATCTCTTCACCTATTACACCTAACGGGAAAGCTTCTGGTTTTTTAACAAATGTATTCCTAAACATTTTCTTTAATTCATTATATATCATTTGCCAGGAAGCTTTTACCAATGTACATGGTAAAAAGTACCGTCCTTCCCTTTACATTTCCAACACAGATTTGAACTAGTTTTGTACATTTTTGCAATTTTACTCTGTTAGATACCAGCGATACATCATTTTCATATGGTTTTCCTTCTGTGAACAGCATGCAGTAAACTTTATTTCCTCTTTCCATAACTTTTCCCAAGATGAAAGTTGGATATTATATCCAAAATCTCTAACCCAGTGTATCATCACTGCTTTGACTTCTGTTAACCAGAAGGTTGGTGGTGCTAAATAGTGGGTAGACATAGCAAACGACACAGTGATTCTTCAAACAGCTCTTTTTTATTCACAGGCCAGAACAGAACTGAACTGAAGGGTTCAGCCAGCCCGCTTATATAGAGCTCCAGTACAACGTAACTGTAACAACTTTCTGTAACTATCCAATCACTGAACGTCACTTTCGATCCCTTATTTGCATATGTGGACCTGAACTATCTACAGTATCCCCCTGCTGGCCCAGGCTGAGAACTTCAGTACACAACAGGTGGTTTGAGCCCACCTAGTGACAGATTCCAGGCAGATTTCCTGCATTGCAGAGGGTTGGACTAGATGACCCTTGGGTTCCCTGTATCGCTGCCTGCCTGCTTGGGCTGCCTTGTCCTCTGCCACCCAGGTGGTGGTACAGCTACATTTCCTGCCATTCTCAAGCTTATCCGAAAAGACATCGCTCCCGGGAGGGACTTCCCGTCTGCGCACAAAGGAGCTGGAAGTGGAACCGATATTTTGGTCCAGCGCTTGAGCAGCTTGGGAGTAAGATGTCCTCAGAAGCATCCTGGAAAAAGCCGGGATCGTGAATGCAAAGCAGATGGAAAGTATCAGATGGAGATTTGGAAGGGGGCGGAACCACAAGGCTGCCATCAGTGACTCAGGAGGAAGCAAGTCAGAGGGAATCAGGAAAAGCACCAGGCGTTTAACAAGACCTCGGATTTTCCCAGCTCACAATTCCTGTCTGCATATATTGTGGAGAAAACATTGGGGTCATGTTTGTGAACATCAGCCTTGGATGAGTCAGGTCCAGAAATTCCAAAACTGAATGAAACCTCCTGGGGTTATATTAGAAGACGTTCATTCTTAAACATTTCTTCCAGAAGGTGTGGTGCTATAAGGATACAGGGATGTGATCTGTGTGTTTCTGGGATGACTAACCTGCTTCCCTGGGCTGCATCCCTCACCATCCCTGACCATTGGCCCTGCTGGCCAGGGCTGGTGAGACTTGGGGGCCCCACAACATCTGCAAAATGTTTGGCAAGGGCCGTGGCTCAGTGGCAAAGCCTCTTCCTTGCATGCAGAAGTTTTGTTGTTGTTGTTTAGTCGTTTAGTCGTGTCCGACTCTTTGTGACCCCCTGGACCAGAGCACGCCAGGCACTCCTGTCTTCCACTGCCTCCCGCAGTTTGGTCAGACTCATGCTGGTAGCTTTGAGAACACCTGGGCGGGTGCCACCCACCTGCTTGGGCCGGCTTTTGACCCGCCCTCAGCCAGGGAGGACAATGGACTGCTGGCCAGGGTGGGTCCAAGGCCAAAAAAAGAGAGGCTGTCTCCATTGCCCAAGCCTCTTTTGCTGTTCTTCCTTCCTGGATAGATAAACTTCTCACATGAATGGGATAGCTCTGTAACAATGGATTCCAAACTGATGTATTTACCATTTCAGAAGAATGTCCAGACTGGTCAGGATAATGCAATCAGCCAGCATTATCATGTATCCTGACAAACAGGAGACAAGCCAACACTCCAATTTCTGTTGCATTTCTTCCTCTTTCTGTGATGCTGATATGATGCTTTTGGGTGGTCTTTGGCTAAAGGGCTGGGCAAATTCTAAAGTCTTTAAAGTTGCCACACACCTTTGTTCTGGGTCCCTTCTTGCAAGGGCACAGGGCAGGTCGCTTTGTTGCAACAGAAAATAAAAGCCTGCCTTGCTTGGAATCATTCTTCTCTGACAAATACTTAGTTCCTGAGCCAGGTCACATACACAGACATACCCTTAAGACAGGATTTGT